TCCCTCTGCCCCTCCTCCCTGCATGTGCAGGCATGCAAGTGTGCTCTCTTTCTCTCTCTCTCTCCCTCACTCTCTCGCTCACTCTCTCAAATAAATAAAACCTTAAAAAAAAAAGTAATGGTATCTATCCCATAGTTGTTACTATAAGAATTCAGTAAGATAATGCATGCAAAGTTCTTGGTCTATGCCACTAAAAGCAAGAACCAGTATTTATATAGTATTTACCATGTGCTGGGAACTGTTTTAAAGCATTTTGCATGTATTAACTCCTTAAATCCTCAATACAATCCTACGATATAGGTACTATTATTATTCTCACTTTATGTATGGGAACATCAAGGCCCAGAGGGATCAAGTAACTTGTCCAGGGTCATATTAATGGTAAGTGAGAATGACAGAATTAAAATTCAGGCAGTTTGCTTGGATTCTGGAATCTTAACCATATCCCCTGTTGCCTCTCAGTAGTAAGTGCTTATCAGGTATTTGCTATTACTACAGTAATCAATAAATACTTGTTGAAATATTTAGCAAATCAATGTTTGCCGAAGCACTTATTTATTATTTACTGCATCTCACTAAGTACCAAATCTTGTCACAGGCCACAAAAATGGACTCTCTTGCTTACTGGTTTTTTGAAGCAACTTCTCAGATTCTGCCTAGCCAAAGTATTAAGAAAACAAGAAGTATATTAGGGCAGACAATTTGAAATAGGTTCCAGTATACTATAATATCTATCATTTATATGATTAGATTTTATAAGAATTTTAATTAAAATAACAGTATAAGATTTGCGCAAATGACTAACTTTAATTATGGATACAATACTACCTATTTTAAAACTTTTGGGGGGAAATAAAACTACAGGAGGTAGCTTTGAAGGCAGTAAGAACACTCTTAAAAAAATTTTAAAAGCCATAAATTAAAATATGTAACACCTACCTCCCATAGTTTGAGGTTTATGATTATAGTCCCTGAAATATATAAAACAAATCATTTCCTTGAGTAATTGGATCCCTACAACATAAGAGACTTAACCTGTTGCTATTTGGCATGGAGAAGAGGGATTATTTTGTTTTCTTTGTAAACAAAGTATTACAAAGCAAAACTGTCTTCCATGCAATATTAAGAAAATGGATATAACTGTATTCAGGTTTCTACGGCTTCATTCCTTGCCTCATTTTCTGTTCTGATCCTTGTTTATTTTCATTCACCTGTTTCTAATTTATATTATCTTGCTGTGTTTTTCAAACATGTATAAATTGCTGTAAGTTCTTCCTGGAAAAAGATGGGTATAAATGAATGTCCTGTAAACAAAGTATAATTATAATGGAAGTTACCCATGACATTTTCGTTTTAATGGATTTGGAAACAGGTCAGATTAATCTGACATTTATAACTTCACATCATTTACAGATCTCTGAGAATCCTCCTGAGTAGATTGTCTGAATTTAAAAAATAGTTACTGCAGTAGGCCAAATAATGACCCCCAAAGGTAGCAGGTCCCAATCCCTGGGACCGTAAATGTTACTTTATATGGGAAAGGGGTCTTTGCAGATGTGATTATTTAAGGATCTTGGGATATGGAGAGTATCCCAGATTATTCAGACGAGCTCTAAATGAAACCACAAGCATTCTTATAAAAGACAGAGAGAGATCTGATAGACAGAGAAGGCAATGTGACCCCCAAGCAGAGACTGCAGTGACGTGGCCGAGGAATGCCGGCAGCCACAAGAAGCTGGGAGAGGCAAGGAATCAGTTAATTCTTAGAGCCTCCAAAGGAGCAAAGCCCTGCTGAATGTTCAATTGTGGTCTGGTGACAGTGCTTTTCGGCTTGCAGCCTTCAGAACTGTGAGGATACATTTCTGTTGTTTTAAGCCACCAAATTTGTAGTAATTTGCTACAGCGGTCATAGGAAACTAATACAATTATTTTTTAAATTATTTTTAAAGGGGGGAGGGACAGAGGTAGAGAGAGAGAGAGAGTCTTAAGCAGGCTCTGCACCGAGAACAGAGGCCTCCTCTGGCTTGATCTCACAACCCTGAGATCACGACCCGAGAGCCGAAATCAAGAGTCGGAGGCTAAAGCGACTGAGTCATGCAGGTGCCCTGAAACTAATACAATTATCGATCTAAATATATACAAGTGTTAAGTGGAGAGAAAATTTTCCTTTTAACATTAAAGACACTAGGAAAGACAAAAACAAAATTATTTCCTAGAGTAACGAAATCTTGAAAGGTGGTTTAAAAAGATCAGGAATTTTAATTTCAAAGGATTGCCATATGTTTCATGAAAATGCTACATTCCTAACCAAAGTCTCTCTCTAATATATCAATTTTATTAACGCAAAATTGTCTAGTACCAGGAAAGCAAATGGGAATGTTGGCCTCCTATAGATTTGTCATTCCACACTGTTCTCCAGCTCCTTCTCATCGAATCATTCCGTGCATAATCCCACCTCTATATTTTCTGTTCTGTCGGCTTCCCAGAATGTCTTCTTATTTTGCTGGAAGTAATTATTTTATATAGTCAAGGTATATATTTGCAGAATTTCACTTATGGAAAAGTTTAAAAGACCCTGCTGCTGCATTTACTGAGCTATGCATACAAACCATGTTTAAGCACCTACAGGTCTCCTGGAAAGTACAAGGGAACATCCCAGTAGGCATTGCCTACTTCATCTCACTCAATTTTGCTTGTTTCTAGATCAAGAGGCAACAAGATAAGCCATCCCCACTCGAGATAATTCTAAAATAAATCGTGCTGATGATAGAAACTTGCACTTAAGAAACCAGAGGAGTCTCTTAGAATCTAAGAGGCAATTCATTTGGCTAGAAACATGTGTCAAGGGGTAAGAAGATTTTCCTATTCATCTAAACTATAAACATTTTATGAAAAGTCTTTTTAGAGAACTTAATAGATCTGCTGCTTAAATCACCAAAAAAAGTCTGAAAATGAAGAACTCCAAGAACTGGGAAAATGAGGATTTAAGAGGCATATATCATCCTTCTGGTTGTAAAAGTATAACGTTAGAGTCATCCTTGATACCATCATCCTACATACCCATTCCAAAGTTAGCTGATTTTTCTTCCTAAGTAGTTCTTAAATCTGTTCATTTCTCTCCTCCCGGCGGACCGTCACCCTAGTCCAAATATTCCAAAGACAACTTCACTTGCCCTTTAAGGTGGGCTCCCCACCCACTCAGATTCTACCCACTCATGAGGGGGAGGGAAGAGTGGCAAAGGGAGTAGGGGGCATAAATGGGGCCTTCAGTTTTCTTTTTCCTCTAAAAGTGGCAGGCCCTGAGTGGGACCAGCACTCACTGCATGCGCTCTGTTACACACTGCCTACTTGATGTTACAAGGAATTCACATGCTCTGCCCGTTTCCTCTCTGGAGAATGGGAATACCTCATGGGACTGTTGTGGAGAAGTGAGTCAACAAGTAGAAAGCACAAACAGAAATACAGTAAACAATCTTCACTATTTTGATTATCACCTACTAGGCCAAACTTTCAGGCTCTCACTGGAGCTATGTGGCCCTCTTTTAGATCACTAACACGGCTGCGATTTTACACTTCATTTTTCAGTAACTATCAAACTAATGTCTGTTACTTCCTCTACTATAAATGTCATGAAGCCAAAATCAAGTCTGTGTTTGCTCCCCCTACCACAGTACTTGGCAAAAGGAAAGCACTGGAATATTTGTTAAGTAAATCTCGCAAGTAAAGCAAACCAGTGACACTGATGCTTCCGACCTATAGTTTAGCTGTCTTTAGAATTCAGATGAGTCTTATTCTCCAATGTCAATGAATAACCAATTACTTGGGAAGCTTTCAAATATACCCATGCCCAGGCCCCCGAGATTCCACTTTGATTGATCTGGGATCGGTCAGTATTTAACACTGCAAATAATTCTAATCTGCAAGGCAGGTTGGAAAGCTCCAGTGTTGTTCCCACCTGCTTCAGGTCAGGAGTGAAGGCCTTCAACCCAACCCCTGCCTTTGAATCTGATCAGCAACCCCCACCCTTGGTTGAATTCTCCTTTCCTAATTAGATAATGGGGAATAAAAAATACTGGCAGCAGCAGCTTTATGGGCAGGATCTTGGCTGATGGAACACAGCAGGATGGTTCGTACTGTTCAGGCAACTGTAATCCTGGCAGCAAACCTGTTGGGTGGCTTCAGCCCAGGCCCAAGCACCCACCAAATCGCTCTCATTCAGGAAAGGGTCTTGAATCTCTTCTTACCTTTATTTAATTTTTTTAATGGGCACAGTTCCATACGGACTCCCTACCCCTGGTCTGAGTGTGACCCCAAGACACGAGGCTGCCCTTGGTGACGCCGCCGCCACGGGCTCCTACGGTGGGCGACCCCGGTAGCGGGGAGCGAGGCGGCCAGACCGCGGCCGGGGACCCTGCGCGCCCCGCCCGGGGGAGGCAGAGGTCTCTCCCGGCCCTGGGAAAGCGGGACACACGCGTCTATCGCTGGAGATCCCCGGGCGGGTAACGCTCTCCTGCCTCGGAAGGCAAGTCCCGGCTCCGCAAGCCCGGGTCTCCGCGGAGCCACCACCCCCGCGCGCGCCGCTCAGCCCGAACTTGGGACCGGACGCCAGCCCACCGCTCAGGCCTTGAGGAGCCGCGCTCTCTCCCTGTTCCCCCAAGGGCAAGGGGAACGCCTCGCGGATTCCGGACCCAGCACAACAGGTCCTTCGGGCACCCGCGAGGTTGGGAAAACGCGGGGGGCTGGGAAAAGAAGTCGAGCACTCTGTGGGCGCATTTCCAGCGGAGGGACCTCCCCACTTAGCATCTTCACTGGCCCCAGCCACACAGCAAATCCTGAGTTTGGGGAGCAGGGATTATCCCGCAGGCTCGGGTAGGAGCGGAGTTGCGGCCGTGTGTAGATGGCACCCATCCGCTCCGTCCGAGAGCAAAGTTACGCGGTGCCGGGAAAGCGCCTCTCTGCGCGCCAGGACGCGACCCTCAGGGCGACGGGCGACCACTCACCTTGCGCCTGCGCCTCCATGGTGGCCGACTTCGGACTCCGCGCGGCGGGGCTCTCAGGCGCTTCCAGAGAAGCAGGCGGCGGTGCCCGAGCTCGGGACGCAGCTGGCCCCGCCGCCCGCGTCCGCCCTCCCCCTGCGTACTTGTCGCGAGCGCTGCGTGGAAGAGGTGGGGGACCGGGGGCCGCCTGCACTGCCGCTGTGGTTAGCTCCGCGGCGTCCAGTGCACCTGGCCCGCACCACGTGGGGAAGGAGCCCGCCGCTGGGCGCCACCTGCCGGCCGCTCTGCGCATGGCGCCGGGGGCGCCCACTCCGGGCTCCGGGCCCCTGCTCAAGCCCTACAAGCGCCTGACCCAGCCGAATTGGGCCCTCCAGCGCGGTGGCCAGGGCAAATCCCCAGGGAGAGAGGAGGGAGGGTGGATTTACAATACTGAACCCTAACTCCCGGTGGAAATACGGAGTTTGGATCCTGTGATCCCCTGCACTCAACATTTTTGTCAAATGATCAATGTATAACCTTGTTTTATGTGGGTTTCTGTTTAAAGATACCTTATTTATGTCTTGTTGACTCAAGAACTTTGAGCTCAGGGCCATCATCATTAGAACTGACACCTGAGTGAAACCTAGTAAGCTTATCTAACTGAACAACATTTCACGGGAACCATTTTAAATAGCAAAATTAGCCCCCTTCCCCCAAAAGCACAAAAATGGTGTATCTGTAGTGCGTGAAAAGGGCACTTGTTTACCGTCTGAGAGCTGAAACAAGGTAGAGCTTATTGTCTGACCTCAGCTGGAAAGGTATGCCGCCTGCACGCCCAAGGTTTTCGGGGCTCTGCCCAAGTCTGGAATGACCGTGAAAGCCCTGCATTGATTTTGCTGGCACGAACAAATTTTAATAATGAGGCAAATTCACAGATATGGAGTCCTCAAATAATAAGCATCAACTGTGGGTATATTTTCTAATTTGGAACCCATAAACCATTCCTGTAGGCTGATGAAGCAGTCACATTTGCAGAGAAAAGACTAGAAACTGACAGTTTTGTTCCAAGCCTGGCTTGGCAGGGTGACTAGAAAGCATAACAGAGAAGAAAAATCAGCTCATGTCTCACTTTTTCAGGTCTTTAGCCCTTACACATCTCTTTCTCTTCCCATCTACACATTCTCCGTCTGTAAAATGAGAGGTAGTATTTATTTACATTTGCTCTTGAATGGTTTGTCACTATTTTTTTCAGGTTTTTTTTTTCTCCTTAAAATAGATGTTAAGGTCTGTCAGGGTCAAGTATGTGTCCTGTGTCAACCCCCTCCTATTTCTTGCCGAAAAGCCTTATACAAATTCATAGCTCAAAAGAGATTTATTGGGGGCGCCTGGGTGGCTCAGGTGGTTAAGCGTCTGACTCGATTTCAGCTCAGGTCATGATCTCAGGGTTGTGAGCCTGAGGCCTGAGTGGGTTCTGTGCTGAGTGTGGAGCCTGCTTAAGATTCTCTCTCTCCCGGGACGCCTGGGTGACTCAGTGGGTTAAATGTCCGCCTTCAGCTCAGGTCATGGTCTCAGGGTCCTGGGATCGAGTCCTGCATCAGGCTCGCTCCTCAGCCGGGAGCCTGCTTCTCCCTCTCCTTCTGCCCCTCCCCCCCATTCTCTCATTCTCTGAAATAAATAAAATTAAAAAAAAAAGATTCTCTCTCTCCCTCTTCCTCTCCCCCTTCTCTCTCTTGCTCTCTCACTCACTCTCTCCCTCTCTTAAAAAAAGGATTTATCGAATAAGCAACTAACCAGCAGGTTCTATTTCATCCACGCTCAAGTTACTGTCAAAGTACAGACTAATAAACATTAATAGAGTCTTACATTTTCACTTGAAAAAAGGTACACCCATGATTTTATGGCACATATATAAACATGTCAGTGTTTCTTGTTATGTTAAAATGCCCCTGATTTGTAATTATGGACATAAAAATTGCTCTACGGAACACCAAGCACAGGGCTTTTATGTGGCTTCTGGTGATAGGGACCGTGGATGCACCAAGTAATGAATCAGCATCGCCGATTAGATCACTTTCAGGGTCTATCTAGTTGTTCTGGTGTTCTCTATGCTGGACATTAAGCACCAGGGTAGGTTTGACTTCCAGCTGTCAAAAGGAGCTAGAAAGAGTTCATGACTTTCCAGCTTGGGTCATCTAAACTTTATCTAAGTTGTGACTCATTTTTCTGATGTACAAAATTTTAAGCTACTACCCCCCTTAATGTCCTTTACCATTTTTATAATAATAAAATATCGACAGTCATTCAGAAATATTAATTGAATATATTCTCTGTGCCAGGGACTGTGCTAGAGGCTAAAGATACAGGTCAAGGGCATGATCCTTCTTCCCCAGGGAGTTCATGGTCTGGTGAAAAGGAGAGAGAAGCAGATACTTTATAAGGCAGTGCAGTGTGGTAACGGCTGTGCAGGACATAAGCCAGTGTGCTTGTGAGCAGTGAGGAAATCCTCCTAACTCAGACCCATGAGGAGATAAAGGAAGGTTTCTGTGAGGATGTTTGCCTCAGCAGAGTCTTGAAGGAGGAAAGAATTAACGGGGTAGGCTGTGCTGGCCCCCAAGTAATGGCTTAGCCATGGGAGACTATGGCTTCCCCTTCCATTTCCTTGTCACTTATGATGGTGATTTTCCTTAACTTCCTTAAAGCTTAGTAAAGCAGCCATCCTGACCCTCTTCTTCATCTCTGGCAGGTCTTCCACAGGGAACACAATGGGTGGGTGTTTGATTAAGTCAGTGAAATCCTGGTTTGCCCCTCCTGAGTCGACCTTGTTGCTGATGCAGTGGGAACCTTAGATGTCCAAAGGGAAGCTGTATTCAACAGTCCTTGCCTGAACAAGTTCCAGGTCACTTGTTACATAAGGTGCTGAGGGGGCCCTTGAGCAGTGGAAGACGAAGAAGGAAGAGGAAGAAAGGACAGATAAAATGTGCCACTCTGGCTTGGGAACCTTACTACTACGCTGAAAGAGAACATGGGCTTTGAGGCTCCATTTTTAGGTCTTTACACTGAAAATTACTAGCTGTGTAACCTGAAGCAAGTCTCTTAGCCTCTCTGTGCCTGGGCTTCTGCATTTTGTGGCAGGATGCAATATGAGCTAGGAATTGATATCTTGTTTCCCCCTTGCCCACTGGGCACTTGTGTTTCTAGAGCAGGGTTTCCCAGCCCTCTTATGCAGTGTGCCATACAAGGGGCTACTAAACATTTCTAATAGCTGGGCCTCACTCCCCAGGTATTCTGATTTGATTTATTTTTTGGAAAGCTCTCTAGATAATATGAATATGCTTCCAAGATTGAGAATGACCGTTTTAGAAAATGTCCACCACAAAGATGAAAGGCACTAAATTCTTAGCTTTTAAATTTAAAAAGTTACCACCCGGGTCAACAGAAAATAATGAAAAAAAAATGTGAGCAGGCGGAGCAAGGACTTTTTTCCTTTCTTTCTTTCTTTCTTTCTTTCTTTTTTTTTTTTTTTTGCCCCTGCTCCCTTCTTGCAGGGGAACTGGGGAGGGAAGAGAAGTTTGATGGAGAGTTTAGACATGGGTCTGTCTATATGGGGCTGTCTTACGCTTCCCTTCCCTACCTATCAGAGCAAAGAAGACTGTCCTTGACAGTCCCATCGGGAAATCTGATGGCCAGATAGTTTTGGGAAATGTTAGGGACAGAGTGGACACTTTGAATTTCCCACCCTTTTAAGGGGATAGGGAAATATCTGGGAGTTCCCTTGAGTGCCATGGGGGGTGTGGACCTCAGGGGAGAGAGAACCAGCTAGTGAGTCACAATTTCCGGGAGACCGGGGAGAGAGAGAGAGAGAGAGAGAGAGGCTCCAGAAGGAAAGGAAGAAGTGCAGCAAAATCCCTTCGGAAGGTAGGAGGGCTGCCCTAGGGAGAGGCAGGGTCTGTGTGGGAGCACTGCCTGCCAGAGGGCGGCTAGCATCGCCCACATCATGCTGCCGAGCAGGGCAAGGGGAGGTGAGGAGAGTTTGGTGAGGTATTGCTTCCAGAAGGGACTGGGACTGCCTTCTCCCCATCTCTACAAACTCCCCAGCCTTCAGGAGGACTGGAATGTGGCTTCTCTACCAGTCCACTTGCCAGGGAGTTGGCTGTGGCAGCCATGGGAAATTAGTGGACTGTGGTCTTGCCAGAACTGCTGAAGTAGAAAGCCCAGAAGTGACCATCAGAGGAGGGCAGCATGAGGCCATCAGCTGGGGTCCACCGGGACCTAGGAGGACCTGAACATCTCGTGCAGTTCAATGAGTTATTTAGTTTTATCTTGCCCTCTCAATCCCGATCCCACAGTCCACAAAGAGGAGCTGGTACCTGGAAGAGAGGAGGGCGAAGAAATCAGACTAGCTTTTTCTCTGCAACTTTCCAACACACGCACACACGCACGCACACACGCACGCGCGCGCGCGAGTTTTCCAAGCAGTACTGAGAGAGGGGAGAAGAGGTTTACTTTGAGCCCGAGAAGAAGACTAGACCATATACCGACAAAAGAGTATTCTAATAACCAAAGCTGACTGAAGTGAATGAATCAGAACCAGCTGCCTGTGAAGGAGCCATGCCCAAGCCAGTTGAGGGAAAAGTAATTAGAAAAGTACAAAGAGTTCATGTTTATCCCTCCAAACGCCTGTTGCCCTCAATAAATTGGTTACACTGTATAAATTGGACACATTTTGCTTCCTCTAAGTTCCCCTCCAAAATTTCTAGAGATAGTCCCTGGATCCATAAAATATTCATGGACGTTTGGAGGACAAAGATGCTTCTTTTTCATTATAAAGGGACATATCACTTACTGTACTCTCAAGTTCCTACACATATAAATACTAAAGCTTACTCCTTCAGGCTTTAGAACTGTAACATATATAATCATTTTTAAATCGCAGTCTCTCAGAGTCCATAGTCTGAGAAACAAACTGAGGGTTCTAGCGGGGAGGGGGCGGGGGGATGCATTAGCCTGGTGATGGGTATTAAAGAGGGCACGTACTGAATGGAGCACTGGGTGTTATAGGAAAACAATGGATCGTGGAACACTACATCAAAAACTAATGATGTAATGTATGGTGAACATAACATAATAAAAATAATTAAATCGCAGTCTCTAAGAAAACAGTGTA